ATATTTATATATTTTTATGTACGTAGTAGTAACACAGTGCCGCCCGTGCTACTGAGAATTGCCCAAAAATCTTGCTTGATACATATATTCACTATATATATATATATATATATATATATATATATACGTTCCCACCTTTCGTAAAATCCATTTCTCTTTCAACCGTCTTGTCTACTATTAATAATACAATATTTTTGTTATAATTATGTAGGTTTTTCTCTGTCACAGAAACTATAATTACAAAAATTACTCGACTTTGCTTGGAGTCTGCTTGACTGCTTGGATTACTGCGTTAACTTGATTAATTATTGTGTGCCGCGCCATCTACTTCTTATCATTTCCAAACATCGCAACTTATTTTCATACTCAACACCTGCAGTGGAATTGCCTCTTTTCATAGATGGCTCCCCTGCCAATGGTGAGGAACTTCGCTGTACATCTTTTCCAGAATGGCTTGTTGCCTCTCGATAAAGGTATAATTATACCACTTTTTAGCTTGTATCATCGCTTCTACGAAGTATTCTGTTGTACACCACCATTCGTGGAAGAGAAAATCATTTGCCCTTAACAAATAACCAACTGCACACAATCTGTATTTAAACTAACACTAATTGACAACTGTAATTAGGTGTACATATGCACCTATTAGAAAAAAACTAACTCTGAGCAATGAGGAATAGGTTCGTTCACAATCACCACCTTTAATTGCAAGGCGATTAACAAACCCCCTGGCTTACAAGCTGCTCACCATACATAGAAATCGATACTTGTGAACCTACGAACTCACAGTCATGCGTAAATGTATCAGTGTCCATCTTTGCAGCAAGCAGGCTTCCAGCTTATTTATACTCGAGCTCACTCCTCCGTCGTACGCTATTTAACTGGCATTTAGTTGGACTTCCTGCGTCTCTTCCCTGGCTCCCAATTATAGCGTGATTTGGCTTTTCTATCATTTTTTTCTCCTAACGAAAACCACTTATCTCTCCTTCCACTATTTCTGTACAGTACGCGCCACGATCCGTCGTGGTCTGTGACACCTTTTCACTTTGAAGTGTTTGCGTGTCCAGCGATGCTACTGAGAACTGTCGAACGCTGTTTGTCAACAAACATCCGACTAATTCGATCAGTATTTTACCGTATGTAGCAATATGCCTTGAAATCATCGTTAAATGTGTATAATTGAGCTCCATTGAGCCAACGTGCAGCCACCGACCCACGGCCTGTGTCGTGGCCATCACCGGGATAGTGGGACCCAAATGTGTCGTCGCTGCGCTCGTACGCAACCCGTTGCTTCGCATATTCACAACTCTCTCGAGTCTTCGTCCGCAGGTGGTAGACATTTGTCTTTGCAAGAATGACGACCTACAAATCGATTAATGGCCGCTTCCACAATTGCATTCACGTCTAGGGTGGCATAGGTGTACATAGTAAGGGGATCTCACGCCAAAGATAGAGTCGATTTGACACTGATTGACATGCTTCGCTACACGCTCTTGTCAATGGACATTGGGTGAATTGAACTTATACCGAGTAGGTATGTATATGGCTCGAATTCGGCAGGAATAAATTTTATTTCCTTTTTGCTTTGAATAAACCACTGGTACAGCCTGACCGTCTTCAGTATACTACTTGTGGGTTCACCGGTTTCAATCCAATGTGCGTAAGTATGTTTGCAGTATTTCGCCATATTGTTCGTGCGCAGATTCCCTCTGTCGCTCTCTCTCTGATGGCGACATTATCGTAACTCGTCGGCTGTCGTCGATCCGGGCTCGTTGCTACAGCGCGGCCACAGGGTTGGCTGTTGGGGCACTCGGAGTACCCACAACGGACCCGCAATACTGCATCACTGCGCCGTATGTTATCATCATGTGAATGATGATATCGATAAATCCATCTTCGATTGACGACTTAAATACGCCGAGTATTTGTTATTGTGAATTGAGACTCGCTGAATTGAGATATGCCCGCTCTTTGCTATCGAGTTGCTCAGACTATCATTTGCTTTGCTAGCGCGTTCTGCAGTTTTCTGGTTGACAATTAATCTTTCATCGCTGGCGTCGAGAGGCGTACGAGCCAATATTGATATCGACGTTCAAGAGGCAGGCTGGTTATTGCTTGACGGCCTAGTTATTCAGTTGTCAAGGTTATATTGACGCACGCCGTTCCTCTATCATACCCCTATTTATTCCTTATGGCGTTAGTACTATTCGTCCGCGGCTCACTAGCCGCTTGTGATCTTATCATGTTCACGGATTAGTGAGTCGCATGTCCGAGTGAGGACGGCGTTCCTGCGGCAGCTGCCGCTGCCGCCGCATCCATCATGAGCGGCTGGTAGGCCTGCAGAGGTGGACTCTGCATGATGAACGGTGCCAGGCCAACTAGTGTACGTTGCAAGGCCTCTGCTGCCTGTTGCTGCTGCTGCTGCTGTTGATGTTGTTCGTCTGCGTCGTCCATCTCCTGCAAAAAGAGAAAAAATGCATTTTAAAAAATAGCTGGGGGAAAATGTTACGAAGCCATAATAAAGATGTATGTAAAAGCATAAATAACTATCGTGTACATTGAAGAGTGACGTTCATGGTCGATCGCGAACAATGCGTAACGGTTGTTAAATGAGGGTATCTAAATATGTTGCTTGTTAGTGAATATTGGATATGCGTATCTCAATGTGCTGAAATTTTTGGCAAAACTCTTTTTAAGCTTAATTTGTGCTAGCTCATTTTAAACAGTCTGCCTGTTAAATGTCCTATAGGCAATCAATCAAAGAAAATTTACCGAAAGGCGAGATTCGCTGATGTGACTTTTCATGCATCAATCAAGGGTTAATGAAACATTTTTTTTATTCAGGCTGAGAATATTTAGGCTTCAGTTAATATGCTATCATTAATTATATGAAAATACCAACGGCAAGTAAAACTCCGATAGATAAAATGACGAGGCAAATTGCTTCTCTAGAAATAACCAGAAGAATTAAATCTGAAGAAATAAAGCGGGTATTCCACATATAAAGGTTCTAAAAATTATTTACATATAATGTTCTAGTGTAAACCAAATTCGCTAGGTTTTTAAAGGGAAAATGGGGCTTAATTAAATACCACAAGCATATCTTAAAGTAATAATCACAGTAATTTTCATTCATTACCTGAACCACAAGAGCAAGCCATTTTTCTCTAAATTCAGCTTTCTAAGATAATCCAATGGTCATATCGTTTGTCTTAAATCTTCGAATACGAGAGTAATACATGAGCTTGAAAGGCGTGTGATGTAGATTCGCACCTGCTTGGGTATGTTGTATACGACAAAGTTGGCGAGCTGTTCGGTGGCCATATCTTGTCTTGAAGGCCGACCTCTTTTTCGTTTGAGAGGATATGGCGATGGCGGAACCCCCATGGGAAACGCATGAGTTATCCGCATGTGCTCGGCCAGCGTTTCACCCGATGAGAAGCCCTTGTTGCAGATGGCGCAGCAGACACCGCCCTGCTGTTGTCCAGACTGGCTCCCTTGGCCACTCGATTGGCCTCCGGGGCCGCCCTGACCGCTTGGAGCGGGACTGGCTAAGCCTGCCATCTCGTCCTGCGCGGGCGTCCGCTATAAGATTGGCAAAATCAAGAGCAGTTTTCTAGTACTGGTATTTCTAAAAAGGACGTAGCATATGAGAAAACGTTTCTTCAACATCGAATTGTTTATTTTCAATTTTTCTATTCTATTCTATAATGTTTAGAGGCAGAAAAGTCGGAAGAGAGTTTTTTAAATAAAAGATTAGTGAGCTATGCTCACTTAGCATGCCTTTTCCAATGTTACAGAAAAAAAATGTTTCTGAAGGCTTTGTGGGTATTCGGTGGTTGTCGGAAAAGTATCAGCCGTTTCAAGCAAAAGCCGAAACCGATAATAATCTGATTATATAAGATCCGAGTTACATGGCGGATGCAACAAAATTTTCCATTTAAGCCGTCTCGATGTTTGCCAGGTACCTAAAAATGAATGTGGCCTGGCATTGTCATGGCGACGTCTTTTCTGTTTACTAGTCCCGGTCGGTTTTTTGTAATGGCTTGTTGTAATCCTGTTAGTTGTCGGCAGTAGAGGTCCGTATCAATCACTATACCAGGCGGCAGCAACTCATAATGCACAATTCCTTCCCAACCCTACCAAACATACAGCATCATCTTCTTTGACGTCAGTCCGGACTTTGCCGTAGATTGTACCATATACTTTTTTTTATTGACGCATTACTGCGTAATGTGACCCGCTAAAATTACTCGCGACCAACCGCTTTAGAAATGGCTCGATCCCCTTGCGTTTCTGTTTAGTTTCACAAATGGAAGTACGACTGAGCGACTTTTTCCTGCGTCAGTTCGTGTGGCACATAAACACTGAGCTTTTCTTTGTAATCGGCTCTTTGCAAACGGCTTAAAACTATTTAGCGATGAATGCTGGGTCCTTACGGCAATGTTATGGCTATTCACGGGTCGGCCTTGCTCATATTTTTTAATAATTTCCGCACCTTTTTCCGTAATCGCTCTGTTAATCCTAAAATTGTGAAACATGTTGTATTTTTTGTCAGAACACAATCTCTATCGTCTTCAAGGAATCCGAATACGTCAATTCAAAACTTGAGCATGTTTACAATTGCTAAACGTTAACTTTTGAATTAAAACGGTAACGCCGACCCATATTACCTGAGAGATGTAACTTGAAAGTTATCTAGCTGGACGACTAACAATTTTTCCACAGCTATATATATATATGGCTAGAGCATTTTCACTTCCCATTCGCCCTATAATAGTGAAAACGCTGCTCGATTTATGTCGAGTTTTCGGTAATGTTCTCGAGCTCTGTATGTCAATTTGTTGTTTTACATTTATGTCATGAGAAGCAGTTCGCTACTGAAGCGCGATAGACTGCTTCGAAAAAATGGACACTGAACTTGTTTAATAATGCCAATATATTTTTTCAAACGTAATTATTAAATGGGCTACAATAATACGAATAAATAAATTTGGCCAGTTTAGTCAAACGTTCGAACTGAAAAAAGTCATATAACAATGATATTTAATTATATTCGCCTACATCATCAACATTTGACTGTAAAAGTTTGATTGCATAATAACCCCCCGGATCCCACTTCAAACACACTGTTTTCGAGACCGTGTTCTTCGCTCGTATTACTAGGCCTTCTGCTGAATTTACGCTGATTACGAAACTCTATACCGTCGATTACCTGACGAAATATATATTTACTTATCGCATACAGAATATACATCGTGTTTACTATATTTAGCAAAACGGTTTTTTGTAAATCATTAAAATTTGTTCAATTTTGCAATGGCCCGACTAAGTTTATAACGAAAACATCGAATATGTTCTCACACTTCTTGCTCATTCTGATCGTTCAAAAATGGCGAAAACACAGCATGCTTATTCTATTTAGGAAAAAATAAAACAACGCAGGGATTAAAGTGCAACAGCTTCTCTTCTTTTGGTAGTAATTAGGTTTAAAGGCGCTAGAAATAGAGAGAAAAAAATTTCTTTTTCTTTTTATAAATCCAGCTTTTCCTGTTGATATTTTATGGCGCATTGCAGCGTTGTCTCATTTATCCCTTTAAGATAACCGAAATTAATAGAGTTATTTGGAAATTGGCCACACAAAAAATTATCTATAATACACACAAAAACTCGACTCGTTTGAAAATATTGACTGAAAAAAAGAAAATTATGCTCATCGCGCTATCATTAGGGTCCTTCGACCATATACCAAGACTAGTTCGGCCTGGGGTTGCTGCTGCTGTGCCTGCTGTTGTTGTTGCTGCTGCTGTTGTTGTTGCTGCTGCTGCTGCTGCTGCTGCTGCTGCTGCTGTTGTTGTTGTTGTTGTTGTTGTTGTTGTTGTTGCTGCTGCTGATGCGGCTGTTGTTGTGCTTGTTGTTGCTGTTGCTGTTGCTGTTGTTGTTGTTGAAGGTGGTTTGCTAAACTGCTGCCGCTTTGTGCGGCCTGCGCCACCTGTGGGCTGGCCGGACAAACCTTGCCGCGATGGGCGCGTAACGAAGCGTCGGAGGCAAAGCCTTTGCCGCAGAGCGGACAGTGGAACGGACGTGAACGCAACCTCTCCAGCTGGGATTCGTGGTTGCGTAGATGTTGCTGTAGGTTTGACAGCTGGGTGAAGGCGCGCGCACACTCCGCCACCGTGCATCTGTACGGACGCTCCCCTGTCGCGGAAAGAAGTTCGGTTTAATGATCAATCAGTTGTGAAATTAATAAGACATTGAACAGAATCAATATTACTGAAAAATAAAACCCAGCGTGTAGGAATATAGTATTAGAATTTGATGTTATTATGATTGATTTTTTGTCGAATTCTCATATCACATAACATATAAATATGCAATATTATTTTGGTGCAGCTGGTTACGCGTTGTGCTTGTACGGAAATCTTGAGCCGAGGAACACATTCTTGACGCTAAACTACTGACCTGTGTGCAGTCGCGTATGCTGCTGCACGTGGCTGAGCTGCTTGAAGCGTCGATCGCAGAACGAGCATTTATAGGGCTTCTCCCCGGTGTGGATGCGCGTATGTTGTGTGAGCTGGTGGCTGCTGCTGAAGCCTTTGAAGCACTGCAGACATTGATGCTGGTGTGAAGCCGGTACCCTTGGAACACCCGGAACGCCGGACAAAGCTGGTCCCCTGTCGCTTGCCCGGGGGTAGCCCGCTCCACCAACTCCAGCTTGAAGTCCGCCTAAAGTAAACAATGGTGAATAGAGCAACCCATACACTGATGTCAACAACGAACCCCCTTAACTACCATTCTCGAAAACAAATCTCGAAACAATGCTCGAAGACGATACAAACACCGAGGAAAACAAATAATTCGACACGTTTATATCATGTTATAATACATTAGTACGTATTTATATATACAGATTTGTAAATATCACCACTGGCAGCAATACGTATTTATATATACTGTTGAAGTTTAAAATTTTCTTGCTTATCACAGCTACATAACAAGTTGAGCAAACAATATTCTCTCGGTAGGGATGCGCACTTACCAGGTGGAAGAACATCTGCTAGGGGCCCCTGGGGCCGTGGAGGTTGTCGAGGCGTAGCGGCTCGTGACGTCAGAAGTCCGCCACTTCCGTTGCTCCCAGTACCTCCGCCGTTACCACCGCCTCCGTCACCACCAGAAGACGCGGCTCCATCGGCTAGTGCATTTGCCCCCGTGGGCGGCCGCAGTAGTGCTTGAGCACCATGATGCGATGGCGCCTGCGGGGGCTTAGGACTGGTCGGTGCCGCGTTCGTTGGCAGGCCGTGATAGTGGAACTCCTGCATGGCTTGAGATGGGCCTTGACCCGCAAGACCGTGTAGCGGTTGACCAGATTGTGAGAGAGCACTCGCCTCAAGCTGCTGTTTGTACATCCACAACTGGAATGAATATATGGGTGACAACACGCACAATAAAAATTGTTATTAGTAAAACTTTTAAAACTATAGCAAATTCGAGAACGGTAAGGCAACCCGAACGTTTGTAACGATCATGTGGTACAGTTAAGTGCAAAAGCAAAAAAAAAATTATGCCTAATTTTTTTTTGTTTTTGATTCTAATTGAAAAAAAAAAGAGTGAATTTCAGAAGTCCCGTTTGAACCAATCAGATACCGGTTGTGTATGTAATAAGTTAGATTGCGGATACGAAGAGTACCGCATGATTAGGGGAAAATAAAAAATGACAATGACCAAACTAAAGTTGCAATTTTTAAATTTTTTTTATTCGACTAGCATCAGACTAATAAATATGTTATTTAAATACGAATAACCAATTGAGTTTGCCTATAACATACGGCTAACAAACAAAATTATTCAAAACAAATAAAATATTCCTTGAAAAGAAACAACTACCTTTGAAACAAAGGTGAACGTCCGTACGTACTTTTCATGCCTGGCTACAAGCAAACGGCATAGGATCTTCATCGCTGGCAAGGTCAGGACAATGAGTTGGACGAAAGAAAACTTGCATTTATGATTTAAGTCAGTCAACAAACCCTCTGCCCATCGCTAGGGTGCAGACCCCTTCACAACGAGGATGGTCTATATTTGGAATTTTTAGCAGGACGTATCGAATTCGGGGTCCGTTTCAGAACAAAAACCGGACCTAAATGGTCGCTTGAGCCGTGACGGCCATTTCTGCTCCAAGCAAACATGTTCATGGATGCTGAATGTTCGTGGATGGCTAAAATATAGGGACAAGTGAGAGAGAGTCAACCATCAATAAATTACGATTTAAGAACGCTTTGGATAAGCGAAAGGTAAACATCTAATTTAGGTCATTATATTAAAAAAAACCATGAACACCTAACTAATGCAGTAGTAACACCTCTTATTACAGTGAAACAAATACAACAAAAACACAACATTGTAGATGAAACCTAGTGTCAATTTTTCCTAGACTAATTTGTTTCTTAGCGCAACAATGGTTTTTACTACACATTCATCGCTCACGTCTGGAATTGACTTAAGTAAGCATTCGGATTCAGGACCCTAGGCTCTGGGCAGGTTAAAATCGAGATGCCATTCCCTCTCTGTAAAAATCCGAACGTAAATGGCTTGGCCTCGAATAAAAATAAGTTCAGATAAGCCATATTACCCTTTTTCAATATGTCCGGTGCGCACTGCAACGTCCACCGATATGTGAGGACATCTGAACGTTCTAAAGAGACGTGTATGATAGCTGAATTCATATTGTACACCAAGGCACTTTCGCACGCATCTATTTGCTTTCGGTCATGTACGATGCATTCGTTAAGTAGGCAGACGGTCCATTTCCTAGTAAAAAAATAGCAATTTATTTGTACAACCTACGGAGGATACTGAAAAGCGCCCGCAGAATGCAGTCATTTATTGATCATATGCCTCTAGCGGCAAAATTAATTTTCAAGTTGACCGTGTCAACATTAGAAAGAAGTTGTACGAGTCGAAATATAAAAACTGTTGGCATTTTCTAAAAGAATCTTCTAGACTGCAGTAATAGTGTAAACGAGGATCCAAAACGCGGAAGGTCAGTGAAAACAAAGAAGTCAATTCTATTCTGTCGTAAGCCGTCGCTCGAGTGAATGAAAGTTATGAAGCATTACAAACTTACAGATAAACATCGAGTTTTAGCAAGTTATAGTTGAGTTTTCATAATATAAAGTCCTGGCATAAATACTATCCACTCGTATTCGCGTAATTCATCAAAGTGATAGTAACTGCATTCAAGTGGAATATGTAGAAGTTGTTCTTAAGGTAAAACTCTTTCTACGGCTTACATGTATCGCACCTTATTTAGCTAAAAAAAAAACAAAATAAAAGTAAACAGTTCTAAAAATGTACATATGCTCCTTTTTACGTTTAAGCTTCTTGTGCTTACCTCCTGTTAAACGCGCATTTAATTCCCATGCTCGACACCCTCTTATTCCTTGTCATATCTCCCACCAGATAATAACCCTTCACTTTTAACGATAGGTGAAATTAATATAACACCATCGACAGCTCATCTATAGCACCAACTAATTATTGTCTGTTTAGACCGCCGCTATTCGGTATTGCTTTTGATGGCGATGCATTTATTATTCTGGGCCGGTAGCAGAAACAGTGGCCAACACAGCTAACGGAATACGTCATACATTACTTCTGAGAACCGAAACTACTGTTTCTTTAGCTTTTTTGCTCTTGCGTTACTGTTCTTTGACGGGTACCTGCTCGACAGACTGCTTGGCCGGCAAGCGCGACGCACATTTATCCTTTAAACCGATCTTTGTCTGGTTAGAGCTCACTATGTGCGGCCTACGGACCCTCTCAGTAAAATCGTCGCATTGGCTCAGTGAGTCAGAGCCTACTGTGTTCTCGCGTGCTACCACTTGAAAACTGTTGTTTTTCTAGGGAAACCATTCTAAGGAATGATAATTGAAAAATAACATAGCTCCTGGCTCTCTTATACATCCCCTGCCCTCCTACTGCACCATCATTCGCGTGCCGCCTGCCTGCGTTCGTTTTAAGGCTTGATGGACTTCAGCACCTATCTCTTTTGCTCCATACCTCCTGGTGAGTCTCCTCCAATTTCTCTCTCTCGCTCTGCTTTTGTTGTTTCTTTCTATGTTGTGTCTCATACACTCGCTTCTTCACCGTGTCCACTCATGGAACTCCACAACCACCCCTCGGTCCCTTGCCGAACCCCCTCTCTCACGTAGTGGAGAGAGGCGTTACTATTTTTGTGCTATTTTTTCCCTATAACGCAAGTTGGTCCTTTCCACGATTTTTTATTTTCCCTTAAAAGAAAAAACGGATAGCCATCTCCTCGTCGCCAAACCAGCCACAGCACACCAAACTGAACGGACTATGGAGTACCGCTAACAGGGGTAACGGCGCACCCCTTATGAAAACAGTCTTGTCCTGTATGCTGCTGACGATGACGATGGCTTTCGACACCTTCGACTCGCGACACCCGCTCGGAACGGCCTGGGAAAGCAAAACCTGAAATCTTAACATAGCTCAGAAGAGTACTGAGCAGCAATAATTCTAATATGTGGGCCCACTTGCAGACCGTAGAGGTACAAATCAATTACCACTGTTACCATTATTCCTTCTACGTAGTTTATTGTAATCGGTCCTTTTTCCGTTTCTCTCTATTAAATCGTATTGGATCAGATCATTGGATTAGTTTTGCGATAGGGAGGCGAGTGGCCGCTGCCTTTTCCAACGGGCATACTCTCCACTGACATGAATCTTTTCGGAAGTCTAAGAGAGCCGATGTTGATAGTTAGTGTAATATATATAAATCAAACCCATGCAACAAGGTAACATCTTTCACTGTTCATACACAGAATTAACCTAATTTATGAAACCTCATCTATTTCTGCACTATAACTAATTTTTGTGGGTTTGGTCTTTATATTATATTACTGTTTCTATCAATTCGAAATTAATTTAGCATTTTCAGTTCACGCCTTTTATAGAAACCCTTCTCTTACTAACATCCTTCGCTTGGAGTTCACTCTTCATGACTCGGAACGGCCAGAGACGGCGGTACGATGACTCAGATCACAGTACGGACGATCCCTGCCGCGAGCGACTTGCGACCGCCACGAGTTCGCCCACTCGGACACAGGGTTTGGACCAAAAGGAAGCAGTGATTCGCGCAATCGCGAAAATATGGTCGTGATCGTCGTCGTGTCTTTTTTGTTGTTCTCTTGTTCTTCTTCAAGGTCTTCACGCGGTGTTGACAAGTCAGTTCTCTAGTTGTCGTCCGCCAGTGTATTTCAAGCCTCCCGAAGCGAACCTCCAATGTTACGCAGATTGCCACCGAATGCCGTTGAAACTATGATTTTTGTCGCGGCCATCGTGGGTCGCGTCGAGCCACCACATTTTTCAAGCAGCCATTTGACGCCTTGCTGCCCTGACGCCCTGTGTTGTGGCCGCGGTCCCGCAGCTGTTATGGGTACCTGACGCGATCTCATCGTAAGACCGGTGAAAACGCAAAGGTCGTCTAAGTCGCGATTGTGGATTCAAACGCTGGCGCGTCGCCGCTATAGCATGATGCCGCTGCTATTGCTGCTGCCAAAACCATAGCCAGGATGACGAATAGGGTTGACAAATGTATTTACAGGGTCCGCAGTCCGACTCCACCTACACCATTCAAATCACAGTACTACTAGTACAAACGAGACGATCAGCCGATGCACAACTTTGTCACTGTAACTCCTCTGATGCTGCTCTATCTCCGATCGCGATTAGCACTATCATGACCATCACTGAACAACGCCACGAAGCACTACGATGGACCACAAAGCACATTCTATCTGGTTTATCAGCTGAGGTGTCCGCACTTCACCGGTAGAACGTACAGGTAGACCTCGTCATTCCACGGGTTCACTTAGCGCGCGCGAACCAAACGCGCCGGCATGAATGTAACGGGGCAAAAGAGTTCGACAGAGGCAATGGTACGACGGAACACGGAATATAACAACGACTAGTGTTGAGGAGTGCTCCGATCCTGCGTGACAAAGTGTCGTGGCTCGGACGCTCCTGCAGCAGCAAGCTAGCCCCAGAGCAGCAAACGGCAGACGGTAAGCGGGCGGCTGCTTCTGCAGGATGCGGGCCGCCGCCGCCCGACAAAAAGAAGCTCTCCAAAGAGCTCTCCGAATGAATGTTTTTATTACCAGGCTCTGGCACAATCGGGCGCCCTGAACCATCCAGCGAGTGGCGCCATCTGGCGGGGCCCGGAATTCGGGGTTTGTGGAGCAACCACTTGGGGGAGCCACTATTTCTGCCAAGAGATAGCTTGGTGTACAAAGGTGCCACGGAACCTTGTTGAGACGAGAGACGGTGGATAGTCACAATACATACGAGGCCATCAAATTCGAGCTGAGAGCAGATAGATTAAGCAATAATT